GTCTAGAACAGTTCGTTACGCTCAGCTTTGCCAAGGCAATGTACTTGTAGACATTTTTAATTACCGCGTTTCAAGGCATTTGAAACGTCCATTAGGATTTCATAGTTACCGTGGCAACAGCAACAACCAAATTATTTGCAGCCTCAGAGTATACTACCCATTACATGCAGGATTCCGGCCAGAACAACCGATGGGAATTTCTACGTGACCAGCACGCAATTAGCAAACTCGCCTCGCGGTCCAACGAACCAAAAAGCACGGCCGGCAATGTGTAAGGATTAAAGGCACCATCATTACTGACATACCTAGTGAAATCCAGCCTAGTGTCTAATATCCAACTAGTAATCCAACTAGCATCCAGCCATGACACCATCCGCAGCTCTTTACCATCTCTTTAGCAGTTATTCTGGTAGTCGCAGTAGATATTGTGCATCAGAAGTGCTGCTGCCGCGGATGGTTACTGCGGTGTCTGCAGCATCCTTTAGCGTCTACCCTGACCTCTGATCTCTGACCTGGAACCCGATGACACTCCCTGTCAGGGATGACCACGGAAAGAGGGGCTGCTGTGATGTCAACGGTTGCCTTCTAGCGCCGGTTCTATCTCGGAGCAAATGTCAAGCGATCATTTTCATGCAATGCCATCGGCGTAACGGGCAATTACGGGAAGTCCTGGGGCACATTCCTCCCCCCCCCCCCTCCCTTCCTTTGGCAGACCATACCTTATGCCTACCTTACGCCCCGCCGGCTTTAAACGCCTTTCCAACGTGCACGACGAGTCACGCGCTCTAAGTGTGACATAGTTTGCTTCTCTAATTAAAAAGCGGGTTGGCGAGGAGGGGGTCGACAGCGGACAAGTCCCGTGTTTCAGCCCAAAAACCCGAGTGACCATAAAAATGTTGTCATTGACAGTGCGCGCCCAAGCCTGCGGAGCCTCGTAAAAATAATTGAGGTCGACAACCAGCTGTTTTCCAAACACATATCGACGCTTTCCCGCTTGTACGCCCTTTTTGCAGATTTGCGATGATTTCATCAAAACAACAACCAGACAGAGACACACAGTGGGGATTAAGGGGGGGGGGGGGGAAGGCCAGGGAACCTCCAAAGAGCTGCACAGCTCTATTCACAATCCAAGCTGCATCTGCTCACATTTCGGCATCAGACGGATCGGCAATTTCACCCTAGATGACGGTATGATCGTGACCAGCTCCCACCCGAGGAAGTGCTCAAGCGGTCCCCAGTCCCGGCGATTCAGGGAGAAGAAACCGGGACGTTGGCTGTAAGACCACCGGCTCAGGATATATGGCCGCAGAACAAGTGGTATCGCAAGCCTTTAGAGCATCGCGGCAGCTAGAGTATCGTAGCTGCTAGAGCATCGCGGCCGCCAGAGCATAGCGGCCGATAGAGCGCCGCTAGAGTATCGCGGCGCGCTAGAGTATCGCGGCCGCTAGAGCATCGCGGCCGCTAGAGCATAGCGGCCGCTAGAGCATCGCGGCAGCTAGAGCATCGCGGCCGCTAGAGCACCGCGGCCGCTAGAGCGCCGCTAGAGCATCGCGGCCGCTAGAGTGACACTAGAGCATCACGGCCGCTAAAGCGCCGCTAGAGCATCGCGGCCGCTACAGCGCCGCTGAGCATCGCGGCCGCTAGAGCGCCGCTAGAGCATCGCGGCCGCTAGAGCGCCGCTAGAGCATCGCGGCCGCTAGAGCGCCGCTAGAGCATCGCGGCCGCTAGAGCATCGCGGCCGCTAGAGCGCCGCTAGAGCATCGCGGCCGCTAGAGCATCGCGGCCGCTAGACCGCCGCTAGAGCATCGCGGCCGCTAGGGCATCGCGGCAGCCAGAGAGTGCCATGCCCAGATTGGCCGGGTCATCCACGTCCAGCGTGACGGCCGCTGTCCGTCCCAGCGCGCGCAAAACCTCTCGACGGACGTTCACGCCCCCGCGATCGTCGCCCGCCAATCCGGCCAAACGCCGCCAACGACCGGGGCGTGTCTCGCCGCGACCGACGGCAAAAACGGCGCCAGCGGCCGGCGCGTGGCGCGCGAGCCTTGCTGGCGCGCCGGCCGGCCGGCCCCGGGGGACGAGCGTCGACATCGACCCTCGCCGGCCCGAGGAGCGGCGTCGGCGCATCGTCGGGTGCCGGGCGGGCCGGCGCGGGCGCGTGACCCCGCTTTCGGCAGCCAGACCCGGACGCGGGGTAGAGGGGGAGGGGTGGAAGGCGAGGCTGATCACTTGCGCGAGCAAGTTCGTCACGAATTGTGCGAGATAGACGCCCCCGGTGTTATGACGAGGCGCTGCTTTATTTGCCGCTGTGCTTTATTGGACGGTATCCGTTATTAGCGAACGCTGCTGCGTGCCAGAGCACACGTTCCTTGTCCTCAATTAACCAGCATCATGGTATTCGTGACACTTCTGCCAGGCACAAGAACCTTTTTTATTGTGTTATGTTCCATGCCGTTTCATTTTCCGCACTATCTTGCGAGCAACATCGCTAACTGTGAAGCGGCCAGAGAATTCTGGCTGATTACAGCTGGAACAGTTGGACAAAAAAACAGCGCTACACATTCTTCTCTCTCCCAGCTAGAAAGGGTCTCAACAGCCTTTTGCTCGTACGTGAAGTGAATGCAACCTTCGCCCATTCGTCATCTTTTCTGCACTTTTCGATAACGAATTTGATTACTCGACCTACCCATAATGACAACCGGTCGAATCGTGTCAAAATACCACACGCTGTTTGGTGACATGGGCACCACCATGCCTCTCATGTTCTGTGCTGTCTACGCTCCACAGCATTAAACACGCTTATCAGCCAGCGATCCCGACACACGCACACAGGCGGACAACCCATGTATAGTTCGCTAATAACCGTGCGCTTCAGGACAACACAGCAGCAAACAAATGGATTTATTTCTGATTACTAATCGCTATTAGATTACTTGATAAACGCTTGGAAGAACTAGGGCAGCCAGGCATGTGGAGGTGTCCGTTGCGGAGATAGCGAGTCAGTCCCCGCATTGTCTTAACGTTGAGACGGCACGCGGTTAATCGACTACTGACTAGCAAGAGCACCGCACCGCAACCGTCCATGCAGCCAACGACGTGACGTGTCCCGTCACCCAGAAACCAAACCACGCGTGAGTGGGTGCGTGACGTGTGCGTGACGTCGGCGTGACGTCGGCGTGACGTCCCTGCGACGGCGGTTTAGTTCAGAGCACGGTCCCGGCATGCGGTGGTGGGAAAGAAAGGCACACACTCACGCGTACATTGCTGGATAGCGGACGCCGGCGGCAGAAGCGAGGGCGAGCCCTGGAACGGAGAGGAGGCGCCGGTCATATCCGAATACGCCTGCATACAGCGCACAGCACGGACGGCACAGCACGGACGGCACAGCACGGGCGGCACAGCACGGGCGGCTACAACAGCGCCAACTTGTACGCGATGGTGCGGCAGCCAGATCCTTCCGATGCGTCAGCAGCGGGGAAAACTTCTCCCAGCCTCAAAAGTGGTGCGGTCATACACCAGCGTACAATAAAGCAGACGGCGGTTCACTGTCCCGATTTGTGGCGCCGCTGTTTGTCGATGAAATAACTGGGAAAAACTCCTCCCAGCCTCAAAAGTAGTGCAGTCATATACTAGCGTGCAATGAAGCGGATGGCAATTCACTGTCCCGATTTGTGGCGCCGCTGTTTGTCGATGAATAAACTGGGAAAAACTCCTCCCAGCCTCAAAAGTAGTGCAGTCATATACTAGCGTGCAATGAAGCGGATGACAATTCGCTGTCCCGATTTTGTGGACGTCGCTGTTTGTCGGTGAAATGACCATCAGGGACAAATCAAAGGACCAAGTCCATCGGCCGACTGACTGGCGGTAATTTGCTCCACAAATGACAGCGTGGCCGTCAGAGCCTGTATCAGTGCCACTTTTTCGCATCGGGACACGGCTTGCCATTTGTGCAATCGCCCGCTGCAGAGGGCGTCCTTAGTACCAATTACGGCCGGTTTAGTGCAATCGATGTAATGGGTCCTGGGTGGGAGTAATGAGCGCATAAAAACGCGGCGCTAAAGCCAGAGCCGTGCCAAAGCCAGCCCACGGCCAGATGGCACGTGCTGATTGGCTGTTGTTCCCGGGCGGCCGTGGCGGCGGCGGCGGCGGCGACGACGGTTGGCTCGAGATGGCCGCGCTTCCGTGCCAAGACCCCACGTGATGTCCCCCCCCCCACCCCCTCCCTCTTTGCGAAATATCTCTGAGCCTGTCTTTCTGCGCTGGGCAGTACCTGCTGCTACTGAGATGAGGGCGGGAGAGGCTGAGGTGAAGAGCCACCGACGATAGAGACGAAACTCCTGGGTAACCACGCGGCGTACCGCCTGTCCTGCTGCGCACGGCAGGAGCGCGCCAACTAGTGAGGAGACAGCTCTCTATTGGCGTCCTTCTCTTTAGATGCACCACCAGACAACATTCCGTTGGTGTTGTACTTTCAGGCACGCCACGCAGGGCATCCCACCACTGCCACATCCAGGGCACGATAAGCCGGCCGACCGCACATCGCGGCGACCGGCCGACCAAAGCCGCCGGCATTTGCGTGCGCAGAGTAATTACTTCCGGGTGGACCGTAATCGGTGTGGGGTTTGCCACTATCCTTTAAGTCTCCTTAGCGACGTGGTTGTTTACAGCGCTGATGTATGGCGCGATATTTCACCTGGAATTGCCAATGCTAGCCAACGGTTCTACAGAAGCGCAGCAAGCGAGCGTTGTGCTGAAGAAGTGCGGGAGTCATGTGACCTGATTGCTCAAGCATGGGCCTGTGCACACAAGTGTTAGAGCGGATTTACATGACTTAAAGCCAGGCCTAGTTTCATGGGCAAAACGATCGTTTTCAGTCTAAAACAGGACTCAATGCCGTTGATGTAATTGGACTCGTAGGATTCGTCGTTGCCGTTGAGCTCGTGACCGATGAAGCCAAAAAAAAACGCATCAAGAAAAGACACCGCGCTTTACGAAATCGAACGTACCAATGAAACTAGATTTGACCGTCATTCAACACAACACAAACTAGACTATTTGCGTCAAAATTTTGAGCACTTGCATTTTGGCGCAGTTACAAACATTCGCTTATCCTTTCGATCACATTTAACCATCTGACGGAATTTATTTGTAGTAGTTGCCAATCCGTCAAACACTTCTGCTCTCGGAAGGCTGGCAATCTGAACTAGCTGAACTAGCAGCTCCTGTCGCGAGCGAAATTGGCAGAGCTGAACCAGGCGGCGCGATCATCGACCCCAAGTTGTGATCAACAACAATCCATGTTGACCCATATTTTGACACATCAACACTTCGGAAGATTAAGATCGCGGACCCCTGCCCAGATCAAAGCCTGGCCAGACACCCGAATCGCGATCAAAGCCTGGTCCGACACCCAAACCGCGATCAAAGCCCATTCGCCTCCACGATGCGCCCCTGACGCCACCACCGACATTTCACACGCTCCGCCGACTATATCCATCCCGACTAACTTTACCCCATCCCCATCCCCATCCCCATCCCCATCCCCATCCCCATCCCCATGTCACCCGCCCCTGAGCGCACATACCCACCGCGCTCGGGCGTTCCGGCCATACCTCCAGACGAGCGATGCCGGGGGTGATGACCGCTCAGCTCCCCCCCCCCCCCTCCCCCTGCATCGCAGGAGCGCGGTGTATGCGGGCGCGGCGGCGCGCGCGGTCGCTGCCGCCGCCGGCGGAGCGCGCCGGCAGGCCGCGCGCGCCGCCTTCCGCTGCGCACTCCGCACGAGCCATTCTTGGCGCGCGCTCAAGAAAAGCGGTGGCGAACGCGGCGCGCCGCTGGCGGCCGCTGAGAGCTCGCGCTCAGCTGTTTGACAGGCGGCGCTGTCTTCTCGGCGCGCCACAGTTGTCTCAGCGGCTGGCACGTGTCCGCCGGGGAATGGGGAGGGCAGAGATGGTCTGATGCAGGTGACTATCGCATGGATCCAGGAGGGGTGCAGAGACGGTCTGGTGCGGGTGACTATCGCATAGATCCAACAGGGTTGCAGAGACCGTCTAGTGCGGGTGACTATCGCATGGATTCAGGAAGGGTGCAGAGACGGTCTGGTGCGGGTGACTACCACATGGATCCAGGAGGAGTGCAGAGACAGTCTGATGCGGGCGACTATCGCATGGATCCAGGAGAGGTGATGGCTGGTTTGCGCCAGTGAGTGCCCGACTGACCTTATGAACTGCCTGTTTGGGATGTCCAGGATTGCGTCCAAACAACGTTAGGCCAAGAAAGTGTTTCCCGACTACCTTCAAAGTCGAAGAATTAGCGCCTACGCTTTCTGTGTTGGGAGTACGTGTGGGATTGTTTAGAGAGCCCTCTTCCCCGAAAAGCGCGCGAGAGTGGCATGTCCTCTCCCGGGGGGTGGCAGATATTATGAGACAGACTCCATGCTAGGTAGGTGCTGAACAAAGCATTGATGACGCCTGCTGTAGCAACACTGGACTGTTTCAAGAATTCGACAGCCAGGCAGAGAACATTGAAACATGGACAGTATACCCCTGAGCGATCTCAAATGTGGTTCGAGGGAGTAACAGGTCAGCCCACTTGTATTTGGCGGCATCACTCGGATGAAATCATCACTGGGATCATCATCATTTGGATGAAAAAAAGCAGGCGGCAGTGCGACCGGAGCGGCGGCAAACGCCTTAGATGCAGCCGGATGATGGAGTGGCTGGAGATGGTTGACCTCAAGAAAGAGTTCGTTATGAAATCAGATTTTGTGTTGAGTATACACTTATCGTGACTGACTGCACCATTAAGAAAGTGCTTGTTGGTGACCAAACATTTTCAACCACTGGTGGAGGACCTGGCCTTCCATTGTCATTGAGAATGTAGTACCTTTCATGATGTCTGGCATACTTTAGGTGCATTATTTTCCCATTGAAACACGCCCATTTCAGCGGCCTTCCTATGCTAAATGTTCTTGGCATTCTCTACTCTGCGCACAAAAATGACAACTTCCCTAAGTTTTTAATCCCGTCTGGAAAGTCTCACCTCACCAAAAAGACCCATTCGGTAAACCTATCTTCGTTACTAGACATAACTGACCGCTTTAGAAGCCCCCGCATTAAACGGACGATGTGCTACAACTCGGTCCACCACAGACGCGCAAGTCGCAGAAGTCCCTGTTACACAGCAATGGGCCTCAAATCCATTACGTTCACGTTATATTGAGCGCGTAGCAAGAGTATCTGAACCTGATGAAGTACAAAATGTGAATGGTAAGGTACAGTAAGTGGAAGGCAAGCATCCTTTGGCGCATGGAAGGTACCGTGATATAGATGGAATGAATGCCACATGACCTATTCCGTCGGGAAGACCATGAGTCGAGGCCCACAAGAACCGCGCCGAAAAGGAAGTGTGGCACTGGCGTACGGGAGAAGCTTGGCCGAGGAGTGAGAAATGGATCAAAGGATTGCCCCCCCCCCCCCCCCACACCCCCACCCTAATACGAGCAGTTGGACGCCCCTGGGTGGTCAGAGAAGAGCGCCTGTGACAATCCAGACCTCCAACGAGCAATAAATTTATATTTTGCCACCAGTCATCTTGAGAAGATTACGCGCAACCCTGATGAATGGACCATGGAGTTAGCACAAGCGTCTATGGCCCAAAATGGAGCTGGGATCAGTCAGCCGGAGCTGGGCTTGGCTTGATCTCAGCGGCGTGCGGAATTGTCATAAATGGAAACGGATGCAGGCAAATGCATGCCAATCTACTGTATCAGAAAAATTTCACTGAAAAACGACATGGTGTCAAAAACGATGCCAATTGCATGACTTGAAGCGCTGTGCACAGTGGGCAGCCCGTTAATGAGAAGACGAAAACACGCGCATGTAGCAGCGATAGCACAGGATCATCATATTCCCGCGAATTTTTCGCCAGGGGCTCAGCAGCACCTTCCGGGCATTGTCGAATGTTCTGTGTAAAATGACTAGAAGTCCGGAAACCAGGACGAAGTCCTGTAAAGAATCATAAGAAAGCTGGCGAATTGTGCCCGTTGAGACAGTGAAGCTGTGTCAGACGCTGAGGAAACACGAGCAAACAAACGGCCAACGGCCGGCTGGTGCGAGTCACATGATGGTCACGTGACGTCACTGCTGCAGCTCTGATGCTGGAAGCGGCCGTTGTACTGCATAGGAAGGTCGGCTGTTTTGGGCTGGTATGTGGGCGACGACAATAAAACAACGCAAGCCTCTCATTTCGTCATAATTTCTCTAACTGTAAGCCTTATTCAGGGGCATTCATTCTGTGTATTTATTTTCACACCCTGTCCAAGAAAGGTGAAAAATTGGGGCTTCTAAGAACTCCTCCAACCAAAGAATTTACATCACATTTTCGCTCTAAACGCGTGTTTAATGTTTTTAGAGCATTTTTCATGCTTCCAGGGCTTGTCTGAATATATGTTTCCTCGTCTCTCCCTTGTTTACCCCTACACGCCCAGGCCAGTGTCCTGCTCGAGATGAGCACCCCTTGACATGGGCGCGGAGGCGCGCCGTGCGTGCTACTGGGCCCATTTCTCTTTTGGTACCGTTTGTATTGTCAAAACTAAAAAGTTTATCTAATCGGCTCGAAAGGAGCCGCGGTCCAGTAAGAGCTTGGATTGGCCCCTTAAGACCCACCAAAAAGTGTGCCTAAAAAACAATAATACTTCCTGGTCCCAGCCCAACTTAATTACGTACGCTGGACGTCCTGTTATGAAGGCTATCAAGGCGACCAAACCATACGAACCCTTTCGAAAATCCTGCTGGTTCATTTCGGTTTGTGTCGTTTGTGATAAGTTGAAAACGGTCGCCCGTCCACGCTCAAAACCTTGACGCCGAGTTCATGATGTGAACTATTCTGAGCCCGACGGTGCTGCCCCCTGCGAGAGCCAACTCAGACGACCACACAAACGGAGATGAGAGAGAAGAGAAAGAAAGGCGGCATACTGACCCCACTCACCAGCCTGTAGGTTGCCGCGCGGCTTCGCGCCCAGGTAAGCCAGATTCACATTGGCCTTGCGCCCGTCGATGATGGGATTAGGGTCCTTGCACGCGCGTTCCGCCGCTGCCTTGTCCGCCATCGTTACCTGTCAAAAGGTCAGAGGTCAGCGCGCCGCTTCGGACCACGTGACCTGGCCGGCGCGGCGATTGGCCGGCGTCGGTGACACCTGACAGTGCTCGAGTGTTTACTCGGGCGAGCCTATTATTAGCTGGGCGGGGGGCGACCGCTGTTTGCCGGCACTGTCGTGAGATGTCGCCGCCGGCGCGGCGGGCCGGCCGCCACCCCCAGCCGGGCCGAAAATAGCGGCACCCGACGGAGGAGGCGCCGCCGGCTCCGATTACCCGGACGACGGGCGCCGCGCGCCGGCGGCAGACACAGGTGATGCTCCGGCGCCCCACAGCTGCGGGCCACAGCCGCGCCGGGAGGCCCCGCCGGCACCGCTGCAGCCGGCAGGCACCCGACGAACTGCTGATGCACTCCCAAACGGATACAGAAGAGAAATGTATGCTCGGATTGAATTACAGTGATGGTGGAGATCTTTGTGATTTGTCGCTAGTTAGTTGCTAGTAGGCAGCCACAACGGCTCTTCTGCAGCCATGATCTTGCGTATTTCCTACCCTCGAAACGCGGTGGCAATCTAGGCATTGAAATCGCGCCAATTCACATATGACATCGCACAATACCACACACTCACACACTGGAAAAGGCACGACACAGCAATCAAGCACCCCAATCACAGAGCCAAACCTTATTTTCAGTCGTTAGTAAAATATAATCTTCCGTGTGAACTGAACGGTCCCGCTTGACCATGAGGTCAATAAAACGCATTTATGTGGGGTGCCGACAGCGTAATGGTTAACGCGTCCGCGTTAAGTGCGTTAACGCGTCTGCGTTAACCACCGCACGTCTGGGAGACCAGAGGTACGGGGTTTGCATCACCGCGGTGCCCACCCATCCTGCCAGGGTGAGAAGCAGGCGACGCCATATGGCCTCAGCATCTAAGTACGTCGTAAAGTCCCGATGACGAGACGAAACGTGTTCTTGTCAAGCGTCATCGAGATCGCGCAGGGCGTCATCGAAATCGCGCAGGCCTGCAGTTGCGCATTCTGTTTCGTACTCTGCTACGAAATGACTCATTTAATGTTAGTTGGCGGCAAATGCCAAATGAGGGGCCTGGAAAGGAACAGACATGCTCAAACTGTTCAGGAAACAAACACGAGCTTGGCTTCTGGCGATTTTCCATTACTACCTGCTGTGTTTGTGACAAGCCTTAGGTGCACTTCAATGGCGCCAATGGTTGACGTCAATATTTACTACATTCGTGTTGGCCTCTCGTGTTGTTTGGTCAATTCGAAGGCAACACTGACGGTGCGAATCCGTTCCCGGCCGTAACGTTGTGTGAACGGGCGAATAAATGCTGTCCACTGAAAGAAAGAAGTCTTTTGAACCAGCTTTTTACGTTCAACTCCACAGACTGTATATTTGCTGCACACTACTTGGAACCTGCGTGAGCGTTAGGGGAAAGACGGTGGCCCTGGATATGATGTCGGCCGACTCTCCAGAGGATTATCCCTGCTGAACACCACGCAGTGCTGTGATGTGCGGTCGTTAAGATATAAGGCTGAAAATAGCGTTGTAGACCGACTAGGCCGTGTGAAATTACTACGCCAAACTGAAGATGCCCGACTTATCAACCTAGGACAAAGGTTTTTTTTTAATTGTAGGAAGGGGAGCAGATCTGAATAACTTTCCAATTCGTTCCATACAACTTTAACAAACTCTCTCGAAACAAGTGGAGGAGCACCTATTTGTGCTTTTGAAAGTACCTACTTTTCAAACGTGTGGAGAGTTATACCGATGACTAATGCCTTGGCGTACGGTTTCGGTTCCAACTATTGGTCACAAACTTTTCACTGACGCAGGTGCTTACCAACGCCTCAACTTTTGTATCATGATACAAGTTTCTCAAAGCCGTTAGGCTGAAAAAAAATGGTGGGTTCGTATGTTAGACATTACCTACCAGGAGGTGCCAAGAGGTTCGGAACAGCATATCAAGCAAATAAAATTAAACATATCATGGAAATGACCCACTTTTCAGGCTGAACTTATGGTGACGAGTGTGCCTAAAATCGGGAGCTTATGGTCTCTTACTGATGCCGGGTTATTTACTTTGTAGGTCAGTTGCCCTTCAGCGTCATCAGTCATGCTGCTTTTGCACTTGCAGTAGTAACGTTTCCGCGCACTCCACCTACATATTCGGATCCTACTTGGCCACTTTTCCCCTATCACAGGTGATAAATTAAATTACCCAACATATTTTAAGTGTTTATCAGACATCACCTTCCGTCGTAATTTTGCTGCCGGGCTTTCTGCACAGAAGACACGGGACGTTGCGCCGGCCACGTGATACCAGACGCGCTCCGACCAAGACAACAGCGATCAAAGACCGCGGCGCAATCGTGCCCAACGCATCGTTAACACCGCGATTGACAATTGCCGCGACGGTGCCGACGCTACTCGTGACACAGTTTGCGACGTTGCAAAACGACGCGGAACAAACTGACGTTATTGGCCATTGCCGCGCGGCTGGCGTTACATTCCGACTCACTCCGCCCACCGCAGCTGGGAGCAGGCTGAAAACCGGCCTCCAGGTGTCTACGCCTCTGCCTTCGGACGCCTCCGCCTCCTGACATCACTCTCTTCCCTCCAGTTTATCGCCGGACACCTCTCCCTCCAGACGCGCCTACCTCCAGACATCCCTGCCTTCCCTCCAGTTTATCGCCGGATACCTCTCCCTCCAGACGCTCCTAACCTCCAGACATCCCTGCCTTGCTTTCAGTTTCTCGCTGGCGAGCCCTTCCCTGGGTTGTGTTCAACGCTGCGCCTCTGTCTGCGCGGGTCGCGCGGTGTCCCGCCCCTGTCCTCGCAGTGCAAACCCCCGCCCCCCACCCCCCAGGTCCGTCAGCGCGAGCCGCGCAGTGTCCCCGTCCTCGCAGTGCAAACCCCGCCACCACGCTGGCCCAGGCGACGCCGCGTGTTTTTGAGGCGCTCCGCGTGGGGGGGGGGGGGGGGGCGGCCGGCGGCGGCGGCGGCGCGCGCCGGCCGATACCCAGCCCGGGCGGCCGGCGGGATCTGGACCACGTGTGCCGCGTCCGCCGCCGGCCGCGGGTGTGCAGCGGCGCCGTGACGTCACGACATGACATTTAGCGGGGCCGGCGGGGGACCGGCCAGCGGCGTCCATGGTGACCTTTGACGGGCCACCTGGGCCGGTCGGCTGACTCAGCGGCCGGCCACCGCTGACGGATGAGGGCCGCTCCCAATCTGGACCGGACCACACGTATCGTGCTAATCGACGGAGCGGCGTCGGCACCGGAGTTCGGCCACGTCCGAGCTTGGCCAGAGGGGACTGACTCGCTCTAAGAGCAGATTGATTGGGCTTGCGTGGCGGGCTTGGCTTGACACTGGCCTCCGAGCGTGTCAGGCGTCCGGGTCCGCCTACGCCTCAGGCTGCAGGCGCCAGGGTCCGCCTGCGGCTCAGCCTGCAGGCGCCAGGGTCCGCCTGCGCCTCAGGCTGCAGGCGTCACGTCATCGCCACGCTGGGAGGCCAGCATCCAGTCAATCCTGATACACAAACTCAATCACCTAACCATTCTAGTCGATTGGGTTGTTGTTTTCATTAAGAAACGACATTGCATTGGGCAAACAACTGGCAATCACCGAATCGCCTCACGAAGGCGATGGTGAAGTTCTATCAGTCATATTTAGGCACTGCTCAGGGTCAAAAACATTACTGTTACTGTTGCCCGTACCGCGGGAGTTCACACAAAGTACGGATGTGGTACGGCAAAAGTCCATTTCAATCCGTTTTTGGTCGCAAGGCACCACGGGCCTGACTAAATTTCATTTAACAGTTCGAGGGACGAACAGAGGGTGCTGGGTAAGTTCAAGAGTTGTTGTCCTTGTCGAGTTCCCCCTCCCCTCCCCCGCTATCAGTTGTCGCGCGCTCGTCACTGCCGTGACGGTACACAAGATGAGAACTTCGCCATCAAACCTGTGGCACGCACCCAGCAGTGCCGCCGCCACCCCATGAGCAAGACATCTTAGGAGCCCGGGTCCTGCTGCAGTCCATCATTTCAGGAGCGCTGGTCCGTCCGCTACCCACAGCCGGCCTCCTGATCAATCCTGACCCCCTCACACCGCCACCACCACCACGCCGGCGCCATCTGGGTCGCCTGGTGTTCCGCGCCGAGGCCGTTGGGGGAGGGGGGGGGGGCGGTGAGTCAGGGACCGGTCGCCACAGGTGCCGTCCCAGGTGTGTTGGCCCGCCGCGCCACCACAGCTGAGCGTCAGGCCTCCACTCCCCTCCCCTCCCCTCCCCTCCTCGCCCCAGCCCGCCCTAGGCGCCACACCAGGGGACGCGATGACACGAGGCGGCCGAGCACGTGCCGGCGGCCGTCCAGGACAGTGCTGCCCCCCCCCCCCTCCCCCTCCTCCACAGATGACGAGCACGGCGGCGCGAGGGAGCATCCTCCCGCGTGCTGCCGCCCTGCGTCGCCAACGACGCAGCACAACGAGTAAGCCGACGGCTCGCCCCGCGCCTCCTCCTTTCCGATTGGCACGAACAGGTTAACAACGAGGAGGAAGATTCTCCATTTCAAATGGCACAGGGCGGATGACGGCGGCTGGACGGACGCTGGTGGCGTCTGCTGCACGGCAACCTGGCACGGCAGAAAAGCAGCCATTCTCGGCGTCCTCCCCTCCCCCTCCCCGCCGCCGCGCAGAAAGCTGCCGCCGCCAGACTGAAAGCCAAGCCGGAGCCCGAGACAGTGAAAGCGGTGTGCCACGGCAGTGAACGCACGTCGGAAGCCTGGGCGGGGGCTTCGGCGGCGCGCGCAGCTCTTGGAGCTGGCTGGCAGTGAATCGCTGCTTGCCGCTCAGAAAACAGGGACGTTGCTTCCGCAGCTGCTGGGCGAAACATGCCGCTGACTTTTTGGTTGTCGTGAGCCGGGAGGAGATGTTCGTGAATGGACTGCGTGTTGCAGCGGCAATGCAAAGGGAGCTGACAGATTTGTCAAAACATCCAGC